TCAACTGTCTGTGAGTAAGTTAAGCTAATCATGTTCTTAATTTTATAACTAAAATAATCTCCTAATGCATTTTATCTGTGCTTTAAGATCTTTCAGAATAGTTTGAATTTTCCATTAAACACAATTTTCTAGAGGCCTGAAATAATAATGGACAATTTTGTCAAATCATCATTATTATTGCCCTCCTAAATGCAATCTTTGGAGAATAAGTAAGTGCTCAGCCTGAACTCAATTCCTAGTGAGCCAAGTTTCATTAGGAGCAACTGGAGGAGGAGGCAAGGTAGTGATTTTAATAATAATAGTAACCCTAATCATGACAATACCTAAAACTGACTAAGCCTTTAGTCTATATCAGGAACACATGCATACTTTAAAAAAGAAAAGTTTAGAATAAACCATTATCCCTCTTCCTGATACCTCCAGCTCTTCGAATCACCCCCAGGGCAGCTTTATCACTATTCTCCCACTGTGTGTATACTTAGGAGCTCCCACACTGGGTGGTCAGTGCCCAGAGAACAGGAACCAAGTTAGTCATTCTCTACAGACTCTAGATCTGGCAGGGGGTAATATAACTCAAAGGATGTGAATAAAACACTTCCATTGTGAAGCAGAGATGATTTCCTGCCACCAAATACACTTTCAAATACACTTTGAGTTCTAGAAATTCTGTGTAAATGTTCAAAGTAGAAATTAGATAGCATTTTGAAAATTTACCCTGTCTGCATATTAAGGGAATAAACAAACAAGGCTGAACAAGCAGAGACTTTTTTCTATGATGGTTCAATAAACAATAACTTTTAATTCCACTAGTGACTGTTGTCATCATCATCACTTCCCAAGATGACAGATACTAGAACCAAGGGAAGAAAAGACCCAAACCTGTCAATTACTGTTTAACCTTCTAGCTATGCTCAAGGTACCAACTCACCTAACATCTTCCTGCCTACACAGAAGCAAAAGGAATAAAAAGTGAACTTTATGGTTTACTTTGTATCTTGACTTTGTGAAGAAATAAGCATCAGGTTTTTAAGTGGAACAGATCTACTTATTTTCAAATGTGACCCAAAAAAGTAGAAGCACAAAATGAGAGCATGTTAATTATAGTATCACTGAGCATCCCTGATGACACCAAGTTCTACCCACCTTATTCACTATGTTTCTGCTGGAAGGAAGTGAGCTTTGATGCTGTAAACCAAAAACCATGTTGTATTAGGTATGACTGTAAGAAGATTAGGGAGCCTTGATGTAGCCAGAGTTGGTTAAGGAAAGAAAAGAATTTTCCCCATAACTGTGGAAAAAACTAGCAAGAATCAACAAGGGACATAAAAATTCTTTCTTGTGTATTGTTCACAAAATATTCCAAAAATGAAGACAACAGAGTTAGAGCATTTTTTTAAAATTCCTGTAAAAAAGGCTATGGAATGTTCTTTTATCATATGCCTAATCACTAAATTCTCATACTTCTTAACTTCTGAAGAGAGGTGCTAACATGCAGTATTGAATTGGTGTGTTGGTATGGGTCTTATTTTTATTTTTTAATTATTATACATCATTTTGAAGAAGGCATACATTTAAATACAGTATATTTGTAGCACTAAGTCATCACATAGGGCACATGGTTCAATCTTGGATGTAAAGAGTCTCAAAATTTTCAACAATGTATCATGGCCAAAACCACAGTATTCTCTGAGAAAGATTCAAAGCAGAGGTCTAAATACGAACCAAAGAGTTGTCACCCACATAGTCAATCCAACCTTTCAAACAAAAACCACATTAACTGAAGTCTTAAATCAATACTAACTATAATTACTAATGAGAAGCTTAATGAGCAGCAGCACAGGCCATTTTCATAAATATTTACAAGTCCATCAAGCACATGAAAAATAACAGTATACTGCCTGCTTCCACAGACTAATCTATATCAGTTATGTTTACTAAGTTGGGCAAGAAAAATTAATAAGTCAGTCATACTGATTAACTAACTCAGTTAGGTCCTGATCAACTAGAGCCCAGTGGAAATGAATACCCAGTTCTTTTTGTTTAGTTTTGTCAATTTCATCTACAACATTTCAAACCATCACCACCACCTCTAAATCAACAGCAAGAAAGGCAAGTAAGAGGATACAAAACAAGAGTCACGAAAATGTATTACTTTATTACCAGTAAAACAAAAATGCCAAACACGTGCTTTTGATGATGGAATAAAAAGTGGCATCATCTTCACAGAGTGTGTTCATTTGCTTTCTGGTGTAGATAGTTCTAAAGTGATGTTTCTATTTTCTTCACAAAATTTCTTTTCAAAATTACAACAAAACAAAATTCTATTCTTAAAACCCAGGGACAGTGGCTTTTCCAAAGGTAAAAACAATTAGAGAATCCCTCCCAAATTAGAGCTACACATTACTTTTGGTTGTCCAGGGCCTCATACATTGTAGGGACTCAGTAACTTTCGATGAAGAAATCTGCATTTGCAGATAGACACAACATCCTTTCTCAAATTACTGAAATCAGAGGTATTCATGCACCAACAAAGATGTACTGGGCATGGGTTATGTGTCAGATATTGTGTTAGGCAGTAGAATGAAAAGTTATTAAAATAGAAGACAATGAAAAGAACAACTTCATTAGATCTTTTAAAAATCCAGGTTGCAGCTCTATGGTTGTGGATATTCAGATTAAAGGTTTAGAAATAAGTTAAGCACTTAGATTTCCAAAACCATTTAGACAAGTGTTAGCGCATAATTGAAATCTTACAGTTACTTGAGTTTTCCAGTATCAACTAGATGACAAAAAATTCCAAATGATGCACACTATTAAAATAGGCAAATATTTAGAAATCTTTTTAATTGAAAATTTTGGTTTTGCTCAACAATGTTTCGCATCCAGTAAGTAGTCTATAAGAAGCCAGTCCTTAAAATCAAAAGCAAGATGTTCATATCCCATTTGGGGGGTAATAAAAGCAACAAAAGGGGGCTTTCAAGATTCTGCTCTGAATGTTGGTCACAACGGCAGAAATAAAGCCAGCAGGTGGCTCTGAACACTTAAAAAAAAAACCCACATACATATAAAGACATGGGTATGGATCTATGGAACATCCAGCACACAGAGCAGAAACTAAGCTACACAGAGAAGTCACCAAAGGAAAAGTAGGAGGGAAAAACCACTTGAAAAACTAAGTCTGAAAAGAGAAGTGGGCACAAATGAGGGGTCCAGGTCTGGCTAAAATAGTGTAGAGAAACAATGACAAACGAAGCAAGGAAGCATGAAGGGAACAAAGGTAAGTCAATGAGAGGTGACTAGGCGCTCCCACTGCAAAGGTGAGCGGGTTTGTGGTAGAAAATAAGAAACATGAACTTTTAAATTCTCCAGACACATGTGCAATGCCACTACATGGGAATCAAAATGAAAAATTCCAGAGTACTCTGACTTTCTAAACTCTAAAAGCTACCTTCCATGTCCTGCTACTAATTTCCTTTACAAATTCCTGACTCTTTAAGTTCAGTGATAATAATTAGCTCTTTGGGGATCAGAAAGTCCTTGCCTGAGAGCTAAAGAGGCCAAGTAGTCTGCAAACTGAATCTCTGCAATTCCAACAGTGTTTCACTCTGGTCTCCAAGGCCGGGGCAAACCCTAAAAGATTAAAATGCCTTAAGGTAAATGGCATTCCCTAATCAAGGTACCTAACCAAGTGGAAAGCAAGTGAGGCCAACAGAGGAAACTTGAAAAAAATCCTCCTAAATAACATGGCCTTCCTCAATCCAGAGTAGCCAACTAACATTTTTAGTAAAGCAAGAAATAAAATAATGTTTCTGTTCTTCTGCACTGAGAAATCATTTTATGCAATTGGAAGGAAAAAGGATTTAACATTACATAAGAAAAAAGCAGTCGTAAGAAACTATATTTTACATCCCTAGAAGACAACAAACACAAATGTTTGCAATTTCCTAAGGAGAAAATTATTAATGCTGAGCAGGGAAAGAGGCCATAGTTTTCAAGAGTGCCTCAGGCAAGAGGAAAGTATCAAGTGAGAGGTCACCCTCTCATTTCATACCCCAGGCCACCCCCCCCCCAGGATGCCGACAGCGCTATTTGAATACAATCTGAAGGTTTCCCTTATGAAAAGGATGTCTTTTGCACAAACTAGATAAGTCTTCTTAATAATAGTCTTAAATGAGTTACCTAAACGCCTTCTGAGACTGTTCTGCATACATACTTGAAGGTTGGAATAGGGTAAATATCTTGAAACTTGCAGAAATCCGTTTCTACTATTGGAGCCTTAAGGCCTATGACTTTTGTTAAGACGCTTCTTTTCAGTATCTTCAAAATGCAATCTCTGAATACGTTACTCCCCGCACTGGATACACGTGTACATGGGAGTGGGAAAGTTCTCTGGAGGAAGGGGTATTTGGGGTGATGCGCTTAGTGATCCCCCAAGCGTCAGGAAGGCATTTCTGAATGCAAGATTGAAAGCGGCTTGAAGCAGGCAGAAGAGTTCAGCCCACCTCACACCGGTTTAAAACTGCGCCCATTTACTTTAAAATCCCCAAACACAATGCCCTCCCACCGGCCCCGCCAGGTCTCCAGCAGGTCTAGGATGTCATGAGGCTCCCCAAGTTCCAAGGCATTTGAACTGAGAACACTAAGCGGGCTCAAGGCGACTTCAGGGACCATCAGGGGGCAGAAACAGGGTCGGGGAGAGGCGGCCTACGCTCGCAGAGAGGGGTCCCCAGAGTCCCTCCGGGCAAGAGTGGCTGCAGGGACCCGCGGTGTCGCCGCGCCTCGCCGTCTCCCGGTTCCCGAACCCGCGGCGGCGCTGGGGGTCCCCTCAGGCTGCCTGGGGACCGTCCGCCTTGGGGTCTCTGCAGCGCAGCCTCCCGGGCAGCTGCGTGCAGCGGGATGCGGCCCTCGGCGCCCCGGCCCCAGCCCTTCCCCTCCAGTCCGGCGCCCAGGCCGCCCCTCGCCTGCGGCCTCTCCGCGCGGCCGGACACTTGGCAACTTACTGGGGCAGCGCGAGGCGGGGGCCGAACCGGCGGTGGCGGGTCCCGCGGCTCGGGGAGGCTGGAGGAGCGGCCGCCGTGGCGCTGGATCGCGCGGAGAGGAGCCTCTGGCCGGCGCGCCGCAGAAGGCGGGCAGGGCATGTGCGCGCCCTGTGTAGCCCCGGCGGGGGGGGGTGGGCGGGGCCAGGCGGGGCCGCCCCCCCAACCCCCGCGGCCGACCCGACCCCCGCCCGCCGGACCGGGCCGCGCAGGCTCGGGCTAGGTCTGGGCGGCGTCCGGCCGCTGCGCCAGGTCGATCTGCGCCCCGGGGCTCGGGCACATGTGGGTGTGCTGGGCCGGGGCTCCGCCGGTGCGCGCTGGAGGAAGCCGGGGTGCGGGCGGCTCCGGAGGGCGCGCCTGGGGAGCTGGATTCTGCACCGGGAGACAGTGGGCGCCCCCTGGGCCCTTGCTTTCCCTTGAAGACCCAAAGAGGGGTACTTCTGAAGATTCTTCTAAGCAGCGCTCTTCCTAGTGCGCTTTGGCCCTACGTTTACTTTTCATTCTGAGAATTTGTAAATGAGAAAATAATGCCTATGAAATAGTCATGATAATGATAAATAGAAGCCGACATGGCTGGGCTTTGTCAAATAGTATCATTTCACCAATGAAAACCATAGAAGTACAAAAAATGTGCAATTGCCGTTTTGAAAAACTCCAGTAAAGTGACGAGGTCTTCTGACTATTTAGGGTGGGCTCTAACACTTGCTGGTTTTGCAGAAAGCAAGAGCAAACGTTACACAAAGTTTCTCATACTGTGCTATTGTTTACTTTGAGTCTTTGATAAGATTCAAGTCACAATGTGAAACTGTTCATTTTTAACCAAAATGAGGCAAAAACACATGCCCTGAATTGAACAATGAGTGTATTTTTTTTTTTGCTTGACAGAATGATCTAGCTTATTTTGCTTAATACTGTAAACATCTATTTATCCAGCTAATAGTAATACTATTAACTCTGAGAAACTGCCAGGTCCATATTAATTCATATTGATGCATTGCATGTTTTTAATGTGATGCTCTAAGAATTATTCTAGTTTAAGATACATAATTCCAAGGGAATCTGATTAAAGGTGTGGGATTTCACTACAGAAAATGATACATGCACAAAATCTCAATGTCTATTTATGAAGTTCCTGTACCTCATGAGAGCATCCATGGACCCCATCAAAGTATTAGAAGCTTAAGTCACATTGTAATATAAGAATATTATTTGTTTCAAAAAACGTCCTAAATAATAGACTGTCAATGTAAACTGATTTTTTTTATTAAGTTTGCTCATTAGTTGCCTTTATTTTTTTTTTAAGATTTATTTTTATTTATTTATACAAGCACTGGGTACAGTCAGAAGCGGGGGAGGGTGAGAGAATTCACCAGAGCCAGAGCGGGGAGCAGAGCAGGCAGAAGGACCCAAGTACACTGCTGAGGGGAGCAGCGGGCGGCAGGAGAGGTCTGCGCGCCATGTGGGACCCTCCTCTGGTGGCCGGGGAGCAGCCGGGGATCGAACCGGCGCTGCAGAAGCTGTGGGCCGCTTCGCAACCCAGCGCTCAACCGCTGTGCCACTGGGGAGGCCCTGTAAACTGATTTTTACACCATAAGCCAGATCCCCTACGCAAATAATCATTAATGGAATGGAGCGAAATGATATATATATGTTGGCTATTACACCAAATCTACTCAGTCCCACAAGGACCAGGAGGCACTGCACAATGAGATGAAGACTTGAGACTAAAGACTGTCTAACTTTTAAGAGTGAAGAAGCACCGAATCAAAATTTTTCACTTGGATTTTAAAAAATGGAAAATTGCCTTTTTTTTTCCTATCTAAGAGATCATTTCCCCCACATACTTTTATGTAGGCATCATGCCAGGATTGTCTGTGATTAGGCTGCAGTACAATACTTTGGATAAACTATTTGACATTTAGAAACTGCCAATTTAGTCAGAAATACTAATATTTGAGTTTATCGAATAAACCTGTCTGTCTGATCTGGTACTTCCTGAAACAAGAACACATTGTGTCCATGTGCATGAATAACACACACTTTCACAGCTAAACAAAAATGAGCAAGCCCTTTAGAATAAACACAATATCCCATGAATATCTTGGTGTACCAGTCTTTGACTTATGTATTCTTTCTAGTCTGAAATTACTGTGAATCCCACATCACATCTTTAGTTATTGTCCAACTTTTAAAATGTCTTTTAAAAAAATAAAGCATCTTTAGATGTAGAAAGATGAGCGTGTGCAGGGTATAGGTCCACTATAAGTCTCTAAAATGGGCTATGAGAGACAAGAGAAATTAGAATTCTTAGAAATATATTCTTTGAAATGGATCAAATCTGATTTCACCTTCCTTGGCATTTCCATTTACACTACTCTACTCCTGTTACTCAGAATGGAATTAACATCCTCTTTCTAGTTGAGTACTACTTTCACCTACCTCTTCTATCTCCACCTGTCTGGAGTTCTGCACTTTTCACTTTAAACTGTCAAAACGTCCTTGGCAGGAATGAAACAGAAAAACCCAAGTTAGTCATTTTCACCAGAAGAAGTAATCTAGGTTGACATCTTCCAAAAGTTTGTACAGGTCTGAATGCCTAAGCTTTTATGAAACTGCAGGGAATTTCAAGGGACTTTTGTAGCTGAATATTTTCCACACCCTGTACTTCTATACTTGCCAAGTATAACCCAAAGTGAATCTCATGTCCATGAATAAGGGATTTATTTTATCAAGATGGAGTGAATTGGTTCTTATTAGTTCTAATTTTTGACTCCATTATCCTCAAGCTGTTTCAGCAAAGACAAGCTAAAATCCCCAGTGATTTTTCCGCAAACGGTGAGAGACCAGATATTGATGCTTGTGTTATAATTGAACAGGCTTGAAAGAGAAAAAGGATTAGACCAGAGTTTAAGTCCCTAGAGTTCCAAGGGAACTGTTCTCCACTCCTTTTTCAAAAATGTGTAAAAAATTTAAGGGAACTAGCCATTGGATGTATTCCACATTTGCCCATCCCTGAAGGTAAGCAAGGAAATACTGAAAAATGGTTGGAGTAAAAACACAAATCTTTATAATGACAAATTATCTTTTCAGTCCATGTTTTTCTGTTTGTCTTTTAGCAAAAACCAAATAATGGTTTTGCAATGGTTTTCAGGTCTGCACTGCTCTCCCTATGAATTTTCCTGCATCCTGTCACTTGGCTTGTTTCTGTGTTTTCTTTACATTGGCCACTAATCAAGAATTGCCCGGAGCTCCACCCGCTCTGTGCTGGGCTGTTTCCTTCTCTTGGGATTCCTGCTGGGACTGTATCTGATTGAAAAAGTCGGTTTTCTTACTCCAAACATCTTCACTTAACCTGTTCCTCTTAGGACTGAAAGTCAAGGGTTTAGAAGAGAGCTCAGCTAAGGTACATCCTTCTTTATTCCCCTTCAATCTTGACAAATGTTCTATTAGTAATTTGCTCTGGTGATTTCTACCTAACCATATCCAATGGACTTGTCTACATTCTCATCCATCTCAAATTCTCATGGAACTCTGAACTAAATTAGTGGATCATTTCTTAGCTCTAACCATGATCACAATCTTAGTTATAGCCATCCATTCCTAAGCTCAACCAATGGAGTTGATCCCAAAGGATACCTTGCAGGCCTCATTTTTTCATCCTTGCTCCAAACTGTGTCTCTCATGAGATAAACTTGCCACCATCCCAAATTATATGATTGAAAATATATTCATTCTTTCTTAAACTGCTGTTTCTCTCCAACTTCCTTTTCACTATTTTTCTAGGACTCTAAGTTAAATACCTTAAGTTACTATCTATTTATTTCTCTCCTTTACTTTCTTATGTTCCATCATCCCATGATTCTGCTACTATTCCTCCATTTATTCATCATCACAGAAACAATCATTTCCTATGTTTCCTATGACCCCACCTTCCTAATCTCTATACTCATCATTATTGCAGAAAATAAAAAAAATTTCAGAAAATACTCTGAAAATCCCATGGTCTCTCATCACAGAATCAAACTAAATCCATTCAACATCTACTTCAATACCATCCACTGAAGTTAATATCCATCAGTAGCTTCAGTAGCTTTTCCCAACTTATCATTTAGACCTGTGCTGTCCAGTGTGGTAGCCTCTAGCCACAGTGGCTTTTCAGTTCTTGATTGGTAGCTAGTCTGAACTGAGATGTGCCAAAGAGTAACTACACACTGAATTTCAGAGATTTAGTATGATTAAAGTCATGTAAAAATGTTTTGATGATTTTTTTCACATTGATTATGTTTTAAAATCATGGTTGGGATATGTTGAGCTGACCTACATCATCAGAATTATTTCACCTGTCTCTTTATCCCTATTTTTCAATGAGATTCTAGAAATTTTTAAGTTGCAAATGTGGTCATCTTTTTTTTTTATTGGCTAGTGCTCATTTAGACATTCAACAAATCTATTCTGGGGGAGGCACTGTGCAGCACATTAGAGAAATTTTTTTAAACAGGAGAGAATAATCCAGCCTCAGCCCACCCCCCAAAACCCAGCTGGGGAGATAAGACATTGCAAATCAAGTACTGATACAACCAGGAGGCAAACACCAAATGAAAGAAGAAAACTAACCTTGTGGGAACCTAAAAGAAAGAGGTAGTCAGAGATGTCTTTTCAAAAGAAGTGGAATTTCAAAGATTGAAATTGGCATAAATTGCTGCTGCTCAGCGAATTAAGCAATCCACCCCACCCCCAACCCCTGTATATCCTACACTGAAAGGCAGAGTCTGTTTTAATGATGAAAATTCTTGTCCATGGAACATTACAAGTCAATGCTGGTTTACACTCTCAGAGAAGAACACCCTGGGTTCTTCCTCAATTTTATATAGAAGAGTTGAAATTATTGGCTCTTACGTGGTTAATTCCTAGTCTTGACTTTCAAATTAGACAATTCCATGTGGAGCAAATGTACAGACATATAGTATCTATTTTCTATAGCTCTAAAAGGAAAAGCTCTAAAAGGGGTAGGAAAGATGGAGTAGCTGTGGGGTG